GTGGTGTAGCAGTGGGTGTGTATCAGGGGGGTGGGACTGTGTGCGGGAGGATGAGCGGAGGTTGCCAGTTTGTCGTCAGCAGCACCTGTAGTCCGGGGCGCTGTCCCGGTAGCCCAGTCGTAGCCAGCTGTGCCAGCCGCCCGTGGGTCCGTTGCCCGTCCGCCGCTATTTGAGCCGCGGGGCCTGTTACCCCTGTAGTCCGGGCGCTGTCCGGTAGCCGCTGTGCCAGTCTGCCTCCTGTTGCCCGTGTGTCTGCAGCTTCAGCCGTCGCCTCCTGTCTCCTCTCCCCTCACTCTCCCTCCTCCTCCTCACTTGCCCGTTGTGACTACCACTAGCTTTGCTTATAATTGTAAACTCTAAACTATTTCTTCTTGAACTTGTGCTCAGAATGTGTGGTGACATTGTGATCCACCCTGAGCTTGTTTTGCTTTGCCTGCTCTGCTGATTACACCCCACTTTGGCTATAGGGGTGTGTCAGAATATTATCTTATTGTTCTAGCCTGTAGTGGGGTGCTCTATAGCGAGTACAACCCTTCTAGGGTTTGCTATTTGTATCCTCATTCTTGCTAGTTCAATCCTCTCTTTCTTTCTTCTAACTTTTGACAGTTAGGTGTAACGCGCTAAAGTGGAGGTGGTTGTTTCACGGTGTACAAAGGATGCCCGGTTGTGCCCCACAACCTTACCTCACCCTCTGGGCTTTTAAACGTTTCTTTTACTTTGAGGAGAATTCTTTATCTCGCTCAGATCCAGCTTCTTGAGGATCGGGAGGTCTTCGGGCGTAACTTGAGTCGTCATTGCTCATTGGCTGGTGGCTCTCTAGTGCACTGATGCGGGAGATTAGTTGCTCGAGGAGCGTGTGGAGATTAACTCTACAACGGTAGTGAGCTAGACTACAGGGGTTGGCACGAACTACTAGAGGTGATCTTAGCTTTGCTTAGTTCCTTAGTGTTTGCACATTCACGGAAGAATTTGGCAAGAGTTTCCACTAGCAAAGTTGGAATTCCAGAATAATCAAGAAGCAATGACAACAATGACTACATCAGGCACCTAGCAACCCTGTAGCCAGCCTGGTCGACCGCCAGCGCAACTCGGTCGACCGCCTGCCAGCATTGCGTAGAGGAGCCGTGCCAGCACTGCAGAAGGGCGACCTGCCAACAAAGCAGGTCGACGGCGTGCCCCGTAGAACACAGCAGTGCGCGCGCTCACAGGTGTGCGCAGACGATTGGCCCGACTTGCCTCGTTGGGCATCCGTCGGCTGTTTGTCTGCGCTTGACGAGCCACATCGACTTCGGGATACCAGCCCGAAGTCGCCTGCGCCATCGCGATCTCGACGACGTTCGCGTGCCTCCGCAGAACTCGTCGAGCAGGTTACCCAGTCGACCTGGTCGACCCCTGGTGCTCTGGTCGACTCCTAGGTGCCTCCCGTCGACCACTGGGTCCCTCTGGTCGACCACTGGGCGCTCCTGGTCAACCACACCTCCCGTCAAGCTACCCCTTGGTTGACGGACCCCTTCCGTTGACCAGAACCGCTCTATCGACCTCCCGGTCGAACTGCAGTTCGACGGGATGCTCCGTTGTCCTCCCGGTCGAGCTGCAATTCGACGGGACGCTCCGTTGACCTCCCGGTCGAGCTGCAGTTCGACGGGATGCTCCATAGACCTCCCCGTTGAACTGTAGGTCGACGGACTGCTTCGTCGACCTCCCGGACGGCTCACCCGTCGCCCAGGCCAGTCAGGTGCAGCTGTGGAGCATCCTGGTCGACAGCAACACCACAGTGGTCCGCTGCAGCTCGACGTAACCTGTCGAGCAGCTATCCCACTGTGAGCAGTCGGCTGCTACTTCCGTACATCCGACCAAGTTGTCGGCGTTGCCCAAGCCAGGGCGGGGCCAACACTTCATTCCCGTTAACAGAGCGCTGTATCCACGGTCGTCGAAGTAGAGGCGATATTGGTGAAGGGTTGCACTGGATTTACTCCAGCCTCTCCGTAGTGTGCGCGTGGCATGTTGATGCACTTGATGTTATTGATGTCGAGATTAATTTATAAGGAAGCTTTATTGGAAGCTCCTTTAGCAGTTCCTAAAATCCAAACTAGCTCTCATACCATGCTAGAGGGAGGACCTTTGGATAGGATAGGAGGTGCTTTAGTAGAGTTGGTAGCGGAAGTCTTGTGAGAATGCAAATCATAGAGAATGTAAATGACCAAGTTGATTAAACAATAGAATACAATGAATATAAATAGTCCTAGTTTAGCCATGTATTCTAAGGGGTACATTTTCTTATTATAACTATTTTACAGACATTTCTACAGTGACTCTGACTGTTGTACTTCTTTCTTGTTATCGAGTCGTTGCATGTAACCTGTACGGTTACGCCTGTTGATTTTCCTCGATGGTAAGTCAAGCGTCGGTCCAGATGGTCAACAGTCGCGTCAGTTAACTCTTGCGAATGTTGACCTTCCTGCCCTTGATACGGGCTGATCTGATACTGCGGTTGTTGCTGCTTCAACAAAGTCAGGTGCGATACTGCTGCACGTACAAAATGCTAAGTATAATTCCCTTCACACTCCAATACCCCCCTTCATTTTTGGATGTGCGCCACGTGGCTTTTGCGAGTCACTTCGCACAGGTCCGAACAATACTGAAACTTCTGACGTGGTAGTTTCTTCGTGAGGAACTCAGCTGCCATTTTGCCAGTTGGATAGTAGATGAGCTGGACTTTCCCTTTGTCGATTTCGTCCTTGACGAAGAAGTAACGCAGGGCGTTGCGTTTCGTGTGGTTGACAAAGCCTGGCTTGTTTGCGATTTTGATCGAGCTCTGGTTGTCGCTGAGTAACTTAAAGAATCCGTTCATCGCCGTCCTCGTTTCCTGCAGAAGCTCTGTGAGATAGAGTCCTTCGCGAACTGCTGCGCTTGCTGCGATGAATCCTGCTTCTGCTCACGAGATTGGATGAGTTCCTGTTTGTTGGAGTTCTCAGAAATGATTCTTGCAAGCTCGAGCTTAAAAATGAAGCCTGTGGGGGACCTCCTGTTGTCTGCATCTCCAGCGTGGCCAGCATCCACATAGCTAGTGAGTTGTAGTGGCGCTGTTAAGTTGGCCTTGTAGGTGAGAACGACGTCAGGCGTAGAGATGAAGTACTGTAAGGCGCGGCGCAGGTCTGCTAGGTTCCCCCCTTCAAGCCGTCGCAGGTCAAGGCGAGCTGGCTGGCGATGTAGGATAAGTCCAGGCGGCATGTGATGGCGGCAAACAGTAAACATCCGAGCTGATGCTGGTAGAGACGGTGATCAGCCGTTGAGAGCGGAGTGGTGTCGGGCTCGTGGTTAGGCGGAGGGATGCGGAACGGGATGGTGACACCGACGGGAGCTATCCCGAACTTCTTAGCGAGGGTCTCGTCGTACTTTGCGGCGGAGAGATGGATTGTATCCGCGGTATGAGTGACGTTGAGGCCGAGGAATTGAGTGACCTGATGATCGATCGTAACCTTGAGCTTCTCCTGAATTTCGCGTTCGAAGCAATCGAGTAGTTCTGTGTCGTCTCCAGTGTAGGGGAGATCGTCGACTTAGGCGACGAGCAGAATGAAGATGCAGCTGCCACAGACATGGTGCTTGCTTGATGCCGTACACAGACTTTTGCAGGAGGCAAACAACGTCGCCGTCTTCTTCGAACGCATGTGGCTGCTTGACGTAGATGAAGGCATTGACGATCGCGTAGAGGAATGCGTTAGAGACGTCGATCTTGTGGAGTGGACGCTGTTTTACGGCGGTGATGCAACGAAGAATGCGCACTGAGGTATGACGACCGACAGGTGCGAATGTTTGGTGGTAGTCCACGAATTGTGTCTGCTCGAATCCGTCAAACTCATATGCTATAGTCTGTGTAGGCTGTAGTGGGGTAGAGAATATGGGGTGCAACACTTTTAGGTTTTCCTACTTGTACCCACCTGCTTGCTAGTTCATTCATCCCTCATTTTTTCACGTGGTATCAGAGCGAAGGTCTCAGGTTCGAATCCCGGTGTCTGCACTTCGTGCATCCTAGTATGGGGGGGTGTTAGAGGTCAACTGGTGATCCCCGATAGATCCTACCGAAGGGTTACAGGCACGTTGGCCTGGGGGGTTATGGACGCACTTACCCGCTACACATACAAGCCCTTTTATCCTAATGGTCTAGTGGTTGGGATTCTGACATGGTATAGAGCAGGTTCCCTAGTGGGAACTTTTCCTAGGTCCCACCACTGAAAATCAAGTTTTCTTTCTTTTTCTTGCCCAGAGATCGAGTCGCCCCTGACCGAGGCGCGCCCTGTGTGCCGCCCTCCCCTTAGCGACCCGTCGCGCCGCCCTTAGCGGCCCCACCTCTCACGGCCCCTCGCGACCCCGTCGCCGCCCCCTAGCGGCCCATCGTGCCGCCTTGAGCGGCCCGTCACGCCGCCCTCAGCGGCCCCTTGCGGCCCCACCTCCACGGCCCTGTCGCTGCCGTCTCGCGGCCCCGTCGCCGCCGTTCGCGGCCCCCCCGCCGCCCTTACTGGCCGCGTCGCCGCCCGTCGCGGCCCTGCAGACGCTCCTCGCGGCCTCGTCGCCGCCCTCTCGCGGCCCCAGTGCCGCCCTCTCGCAGCCCCAGTGCCGCCCTCTCGCGGCGGCGTCGCCGCCCTCTCCCGGCCCCATTGCTGCCCTCTTGCCGCCTCGTCGCCACCCTTAGCGGCCCCATCGCCGCCCCTTGCAGCCCGTCGCCGCCCCTTTTGGCCCCTCCCCGGCCCCTTCACCGCCGAACCGCCGAGCCGCCCAGGCGCCGAGCCGCCAAACCGCCGAGCCATCGAGCCGCCAAGCAGCTGAGCCGCCGAGGCCGGCGTCGAGCCGCCACTACCGAGCCGCTGCCGCCGAGCCGCCGTCGAGCCGCTACTGCCACTGCCGAGCCACTGCCACCGCAGTTGCAGCCCTGTTCCTACCGACGAGCCCCGGCCCTACCCACCTAGACTGGTGAGAGCACTCCCTCCTAGACCACTGCTGTCATGGCTACCCCTAGTTTCCTTACATTTGATGCTGAGGGTCGTGCTGTTGACTTCAAGGTCTGGGTCGATGACCTACAGCTCTTCCTACACTGCAATAGGGCAGACGGACTCTCCGTGTTCAATCTCACCTCTGGTGCCTCTCCTGCCCCGCCTGCTGATGCTGACAGCATTGTTCGCTAACAGTGGGCCACACGCGATGCTGTTGCTCGTCTTGCTGTGCATCGCCACTTACCGACCGCTGAGCGTGCGCACTTTAGTCAGTACAAGAGTGCTAAGACCTTGTACGACGTTGTAGTTGCACGCTACTCTTCCCCTTCCACTGCTGCCCTTAGCCGCCTCATGCTGCCATACCTGTTTCCTGACCTCGCCGCCTTTCCCACTATCGCTGACCTCGTTACGCACCTTCGCACTAGTGACACCCACTACCGCGCTGCGCTTCCTGCTAAGTTTTGCGCCAAGAAACCCCCCCCCCCCCCCCCCATGTACATCACCCTCTACTACATAGTCACCCGGCTCCCAGACTCCCTTCGCTCGGTCAGGGACCACTTCCTCTCTGTTTGCCCCACCACACTCACCGTTGACCTCCCCGAGGAGCGCCTCCTGGCCGCTAAGAAGAGTATAGTCGCTGTACGAGCCTCTCGAGGTGACCCCCGTGCCCCTGTCTTTGAGGGGTGCTCCCCCTCCCTCCCTTTTCCCTCTGTTGCCTCTGATCCTGGCGTGGACTTCGTTGGCACCAAGTCGGTCGGCGCTACGTCTGCCCCTAGCGGGAGACGCCGCACCGGCAAGGGCAAGGGGGGCAAGGGCGCTGGAGGGGCTGGCGGGGGCGGTGGAGGTGGCGATGGAGGAGGCGGAGGGAGTGGGGGTGGTGGTGGGAGTGGTGGCAGGGGTGGGGGCTTCGGTGGCAGCAGTGGCGGCAGAGGCGGCGGCGGTGGTGGCGGTGGGAGCGGAGGAGGAGGCGGTGGCGGCGGTGGCAGAGGTGGCGGCGGAGGAGGTGGAGCTAGTCGGGGTGGCTCTACGCAGCGAGGCGGCTTCGGTGGTGGTCACCGCCAGCAGCAGCAGCACACTCGTGAGACCCCGCCCCCCCAGCAGCTTCGTTAGTGGTACGCTTCGCGTCAGCGGGGTGGGGGTACTGGTACCTACGTCATGCGTATCGGCGACCGTATGTGTGAGCAGCGCGGAGGCGCGCACCCCACCCAACGCTGCTTCGGCCGCCTGACGGACGCTTGGCGTCTCCAGTTCCCTGACGCCACTGAGATCCCTCGCTAGGGAGAGCTGCAGAGGTCGGGGGTTGCTATCTTTGATCTTGATTATGATGCTATTCTTGCTGCCATGTATGCTGTGTCTACTAGTGATGAGGGTGACTGTTACCTGTGTGTTCCGCCTTACCCGGAAACATTGAGGCTGCTGCTCTAGGTGCTGGTGAGGCTGCTGCTCTAGGTGCTAGTGCGTCTACTGCCCCAGGTGCTCTAAGTGCTAGTGCTGTCCGCCAACCCCCTCTAACACCCTGTCAGGTCTCTACCTCCCCTTGTTCTCTACGAACTTGGTGAGTGGTGCTGACCTACAGGATGGGGGGGTTGACTAGTTCACTCCTTCGAGTTAGCGGTTGACCCACTGTATGTGTGCTCGGACGGGCCGCCACTTGGCTTGTTTACCTGTCGGCCGGGGTCGAGCTTGTACACATTGACTACCGAGTCTCCTCCGGTTGTAGAATCTGGTCAGGTAGCTGCGTCGAGTTAGGTGTTTGCTGCAGCGTCCAGGTCTGGTCCTGAGTCTGCTGCCTGCTCGTGTCATCTCCTGTCCCACCAGACTCTCCTCTGGCACCACCGCCTTGGTCACCCCTCCTTGCCTCGTCTCCAAGGCATGGCCTCCCGTGTCCTTGTCTCTGGTCTCCCCCGGTCCCTCCCTCCCCTCCCTCCACGGCCTGCCCCTACCTGCGTTCCCTGCGTCGAGGGGCGGCAGCGCGCCACCCCTCACTCCTCCGAGTTTCCTCCGACAGAGGCTCCGCTGCAGACTCTTCACATGGACGTGTGGGGCCTCGCCCGCGTCCGTGGCCAGGGTCACGAGGGTTACTTCCTCTTGGTGGTTGACGACTAGTCACGTTACACCATGGTGTTCCCCTTGCGCAGCAAGGGTGATGTCACTGAGTGTTGATTGGCTGGATCCGCGCAGCTCATCTCCAGCTCGGAGAGAGTTTCGACTCGGACTTTCGTGTTCTGCGTCTACACTCTGACAGAGGCGGGGAGTTTTGTCAGAACATATCTATAGCTTATACTGCTGTGTAGGCTGTAGTGGGGTATCCCATAGGGGGTACAACCCAGTTAGGGTTTCATATTTGTACTGCTTTCATTCATAGTTCATCTCATTCCTGCTTACTCATTTACACATGGTATAGAGCTAGGTCCCTCCAGGACCGAATTTTTTTTTTTGGGCCCACCGAAGCGCGCCCCCGAGGCGCGATTTTTTTTTAGCGACCCCTCGAGTCGCCCTCTCCCCTGCGGCCTCGCCGCCCACTCTGTCGCGGCCCCGCCCTGCTCCTTACGCGGCCCCGCCGCCTGCTTCTTACGCGGCCCCGCCCCGGCCCTTACGCGGCCCCGCGTCGCCTCCTACGCGGCCCTTACGCGGCCCCGCGCCGGCCCCTTACGCGGCCCTTACGCGGCCACGCCGCCGGCTCCTTACGCGGCCCTTACGCGGCCCTTACGCGGCCACGCCGCCAGCTCCTACGCGGCCCCGCGCCGGCTCCTTACGCGGCCCGTCCCCGGCCCCTACGCGGCTCCGCGCCGGCTCCTACCCGGCTCTTACGCGGCCCCGCGCCGGCCCCCCCCCCTTACGCGGCCCTGACGCGGCCGCGCCGCCGGCTCCTACGCGGCCCCGCGCCGGCTCTCACGCGGCCCCGCAGCTGGCTCCTACTCGGCCCCGCAGCCGGCCCCTTAAGCGGCCCCACCGCCGGCCTCCTACTCGGCCCTGCCCCGGCTCCTATCACGGCCCCGCCCCAGCTCCTTCGCGGCCCTGCCCCGGCTCCTACGCGGCCCTACCGCCGGCCCTGACGCGGCCCCGCCCCGTCTCACTTCTACGCGACCCGAGCCGCCTGTCGCCGAGCAGCCCGGGACCCGAGCCGCCCTGCAGCCGAGCCGCCCGGGAGCCGAGCCGCCCTGCACCAGAGCCGCCCTGCAGCCGAGCCGCCCGGGAGCCGAGCCGCCCTGCACCCGAGCCGCCCTGCAGCCGAGCCGCCCGGGAGCCGAGCCGCCCTGCACCCGAGCCGCCCTGCCGTCGAGCCGCCCGGGAGCCGATCCGCTGTACACCCGAGCCGCCCGGTCGCCGTTCTGCTTTTCTGTCGAGCTGCGCGACCTGCCCTGCCTGGTGAGCACAGTCCCACTGTCACTGCGTGCTCTCCCCCCTACTGCTTGCACTGCTTCACAGTCGTCGTCATGGCTACCCCTAGTGTCCTAGCTTTTGACGCTGAGGGTCGCGCCATTGATTTTGAGGTCTGGCTAGACGACCTGCAGCTGTTCTTACAGTGCGACAGGGCTGATGACCTTTCTCTCTTTGACCTCACCTCTGGCGCCTCTCCTGCTCCTGCTGCTGATGCTGATCCCGCTGTCCGCTCTAAGTGGGCCACCCGCGATGCTGCTGCACGTCTTGCTGTGCGTCGCCACCTCCCTACCTCTGAGCGTGCGCACTTTAGTCAGTACAAGAGTGCTCAGACCTTGTACGACGCTGTAGTTGCGCGCTACTCCTCCCCTGCCACTGCTGCACTGAGCCGTCTCATGCTTCCCTACCTCTTTCCTGACCTCTCTGCCTTTCCCACTGTCGCTGACCTCATTACGCACCTCCGCACTAGTGACACTCGCTACCGCGCCGCCCTTCCTGCTGAGTTCTGCGCTAGGAACCCCCCTCCCATGTACATCGCTCTCTACTACGTAGTCGCGCGCCTCCCTGACTACCTTCGCTTCGTCAGGGACCACTTTCTCGCAGTTTGTCCCACCACTCTCACCGTCGACCTCCTCGAGAAGGCCCTCCTTGCAGCGGAGAAGAGCATAGTCGCTGTAGGTGCTTCTCGTGGTGACCCTCGCACCCCCATCTTTGAGGGGTGCTCTCCTTCCCCCTTGCTGCCCTCTGTTGCCTCTGCTGCTGCTGCCGACCTGCTTGGTCTTGAGTCGGTCGGCGCGGCGTCTGCCCCTAGTGGGAGACGTCGCTCCAGCAAGGGCAAGGGAGGCAAGGGCGCGGGTGGAGCTGGGGGGGGCGGTGGCGGTGGCGGCGGTGGCGGCGGAGGGAGTGGGGGTGGCGGCGGGACTAGTGGCGGGGGTGGTGGTGGTGGTGGTGGCAGCAGCGGCGGAGACGGTGGTGGTGGTGCCAGCGGTGGTGGTGGAGGCAGCGGCGGAGGTGGAGGCGGCGGAGGTGGAGGCAGTGGAGGCGGCAGCGGCGGAGGCAGTAGTGGTGGAGGAGGTGGAGCTGGTCGGGGTGGTACCCAGCAGCGTAGCGGCGGTGGTGGTGGCCTGCGCTCGCACCGGCAGCAGCAGCAGCGCTCACGGGACATCCCTTCGCCTCAGCAGCTTCGTGAGTGGTACGCTGGGCGTCAGAGGGGTGGGGGTACTGGTCCCTGCACCTACGTTCTTCGTTCCGGCGACCGCGCGGGTGAGCAGTGTGGGGGTGCCCACGCCACCCAGCGCTGCTTTGGCCGCCTGACGGACGCTTGGCGTCAGCAGTTCCCTGGGGCTAGTGAGATCCCTCGCTGGGATGAGCTTCTCAGGGCTGGTGTAGCGATCTTTGATCTTGACTTTGATGCTATCCTTACTGCTATGTATGTTGTGGATTATAATGAGGAGAATGAGGGTTACCGGTGTTTCCAGCCCGACCCGGGCATTGGTACTGCTGCGCTAGGTGCTTGTGAGGCTGCTGCTCTAGGTGCCAGTGCGTCTGCGCTCTCAGGTACTGGTGAGACTGCGTTCTCAGGTACTGAGTCGTCCTCGTCCTCCCTCACTTTCACACTTGACTCCGGAGCTTCTCGCTCCTTCTTTCGAGACCGCACTACCCTTTCGCCGCTCGCCAGGCCGGTTGCGGTCTCCCTTGCTGACCCCTCTGGGGGTCCTGTCCTGTCTCACTTCTCCACTGTCCTCCCGTGTCCGGCTGCCCCTTCGGGCACCCTGTCGGGTCTGTACCTTCCCTCGTTCTCTACGAACTTGGTGAGTGGAGCGGACCTGCAGGATGGGGATGTTCACCAGTTCACTCCTGCGCGTCAGCGGGTGACCCACTGCACGGAGGCTCGCACGGGCCGACACCTGGCCACGTTCTCGCGTCGGCCGGGGTCGAGTCTCTACACCCTGACCGTTGAGTCTCCTCCTGTCCCTGCGTCTGGTCAGGTGGCTGCGTCGGGTCAGGTACTTGCTGCTGCGTCCCGGTCAGGTCCTGAGTCTGCCCCCTGTTCTTGTCGCCTCCTGTCTCACGAGACTCTCCTGTGGCACCACCGTCTTGGCCACCCCTCCTTGCCCCGTCTTCGGAGCATGGCTTCCCGTGTCCTTGTCTCTGGTCTTCCCCAGTCTCTCCCTCCTCTCCCCTCCGGGCCAGGACCTTCCTGTGTCCCCTGTGTCGAGGGTCGCCTCCGGGCTACTCCTCACTCCTCCCACTTCCCCCCGACAGAGGCTCCCCTGCAGACGCTTCACATGGATGTGTGGGGCCCAGCCCCCGTCCGTGGGCAGGGTTACGAGCGATACTTCCTGTTGGTGGTTGACGACTACTCGCGTTACACCACAGTCCTCCCCTTGCGCAGCAAGGGTGCGGTCACTGAGGTGCTGATCGACTGGATCCGCGAGGCTCGTCTCCAGCTCAGGAAGAGCTTCGGCTCGGACTTTCCTGTTCTGCGTCTGCACTCTGACAGAGGCGGAGAGTTCTCTTCTCGCCTTCTGCGAGACTACTGTCGTGCACGGGGGATCCGCCAGACCTTCACGCTTCCGGACTCACCACAACAAAATGGGATTGCTGAGCGCCGCATTGGCATGGTCATGGATGTCGCTCGTACGTCCATGATGCATGCGGCTGCCCCCCATTTTCTGTGGCCGTTTGCGGTGAGGTACGCGGCGCATCAGCTCAACCTTCACCCCCGG